CCCCCCGCATGACTCTCTCCAACTGAAGAAATCATGTCAAACACTTTCTTCTTCCAACTTCTGGTCTCTCTCACCTCCCCGCAGCACATGAAAATCATAATAATCATTTCTTTTTCCTAAAGGGTTCCTGTATGGGTTTTTTGCATCCTCGTATCAAAATCTAATAGTTTTCAAATGTTATATAATTTAAAACCTGGTTTTTAGTTGAGTTGCTCCACAATTTACTCCTCATCTGTGGTTCCCAAAAGATAGCCCATCTGTGGGCAGAAGGGAAGGGTAAGAGGAGGTCTGGTAAAACAGGTTGAAAAATATTGCCTGAAAGGAATTTTCTCCCCTTTATTTAGAAACAGGGTTACAGTTTTCTTTTAGATTTTCTCACTTTCTTTTCTGTGATACCACAGGGATGAACTCTTCAGGCAAAGCCTGGCAAAACTGCGGGAGCAGCTAGTTAAAGCTAATACCCTGGTGAGAGAGGCAAACTTCTTAGCTGAGGAGATGAGCAAACTCACTGATTACCAAGTGACTCTTCAGATCCCTGCTGCAAACCTCAGTGCCAATAGAAAGGTAAGAAAGTTCTTAAAGAAAATGAGAGCAAGATGTACAATAGTAAATACTATAAAATGAAATCTAAAATTGAAATCTAAAAAATACCCATCAGGAGATCCTGATAGAAACCAGAGGTGCTTATTCTTTTTAAGACTTCCTTGATCCACAGACCAGCCAGCTATGGGGGGAGAAAAAACACTTCCTGTATATATCTCCTTGGATAAGAATGCTATTTTAATGATGCCCTTAGATGTGTTACAAACAGAATATGCAGATTTTTGGTGGCTAAAGGACTTGCTAATTTAAAAGCTTTCTTTAAAACAGTGAAACTGGAAATACATATATAAGTAATCCTGCCTGCTTTTCCTTGCATATAAATGTCCCCTTCTGAAATGGGAGAATGTGTGTATGTTTTGTTATAGTACCTTTTTAAGAGTGATTTCTACAAGAAAGGAAGACTTTCTTGACAGGTATCTGTCTTTACATAACACAGAAAAACTCTTTAAAGCCATTTGAAAGTTTCCTGTCATTTCAACTTGAAGAATTTTTCCTTCAAGGAAATTGTAGGGAGAAGCTTTGAAGAAAATAGTTTTTCATCCTTTAATTTTTCACTCCAGTAAGCCAGCTAGAAAGTGTGTCAGGGAGTGTCTCATCAGTCTTGCTTGGTTTTAGTCTTTTGACCAAGCAGTTCCCCTTTGAGAAATTTATTCTAAGTCAATAGTCATAGAAGTGTAGATAAAGACTTATGTCCTTTATGTACAAGGATGTTGAACAGCAGAATAATAAGTCAAATGTGTGATAAATCCATGGATGGATTGCTGTGTTGCCATTAAAAATCATGTTTATGAAGAATAACAACACAAGAAAATGATCACAATATAAAAGTTGGAGAGAGGATTGGGATATGAAATTATATTCTTGTTTGGTCCTGATTGTAATAAAAAGTGTGTGCATAGGTGGACATAGAAAATAGAAAATAAATCAGAATATTCCCCAGATGGTAGAATTTTATCTTCTTTCGTATACATTTATGTGTTTTGCAAACTTATTACTTTAGCAATCAAAAGAGAAGTTCTAACAATGTTCATTTGGTTGGTTTTTCTTTGTTCTGCAGAGGGGTGCAATAGTGAGTGAGCCAGCCATTCAAGTGAGGAGGAAAGGAAAGAGTACCCAAGTGTGGACCATTGAGAAGCTGGAGAATAAATTAATTGATATGAGAGACCTTTATCAAGAATGGAAGGAAAAAGTTCCAGAGGTAAGAGATAAAAATGTGAAGGAGATTGGGTATGTTAAAAGCAAAGAACATAAGTGATTTAACCATCAGAACAAACACACATACACACACAGATGTGCCAGTGACACTCTGGACATTTATATTAGGAAAATAAAAGTGATTTTGAAAAGAGTGTTAAGTTGGATCAGGAGTATAATGTGATCCCCGCATAGATGGGAAGTAAACAAAGAGAACATATAGCAGATTTTTATTTGGCTTCATTTTTACTACCTTTCAAGTGAAACAAAGTGGAATGAAGTAAATTTACACTGTTTTGTCATTATTGTGAAAAATCATCTTGGCCAGAGCCAATATGTATTTTGTATTTGTTAGCATATGTTCATGCGCCTCTAGCTGTGCTCATGGCTAGATTACATGAGTGATTTTAGTGCGCAGAATCCATTTTTTGGACATTAGTAATGGAAAAGAAGATTTGGCGAGGGGGATGAGGCAAAGCACAGGGAATGAAATGAGAAAGGCTGTAGGTGGGGTGTGATAGGAAAGACAAGGCAGGAACTGAAGGAAAATCCTCCACACAGGTATCGCTTAGTTCCTTAACATGCAAGCCCTCCCAGGTGCAAATTTTGTTTTATTTATGTGACATACTGTTTTTATTTCTTGTTTATTTGTATAGATGATTTCTTTTAAAAATATTTTTAAATGCTAGTTTTAAATATATGATTTAAGTCAGTACTTTGTTTCCTAATCACCTACCCTTCTACTGCTCAGGCAAAGAGACTGTACGGGAAACGAGGTGACCCATTCTACGAAGCCCAAGAGAATCACAACCTAATCGGCGTGGCTAATGTGTTCTTGGAATGCCTCTTCTGTGACGTGAAACTTCAGTATGCAGTCCCAATCATCAGCCAGCAGGGGGAGGTAAAGACAGGCCAGCCTTGGAGAGAATGACAGTGGTTCACGTTTTTTGGTTTTTTAAATTTGATTTACGTTATGTTCTTGAGGTAGATGAAGAAATCAGGGCAGATAGTCAAGATCTACGTTATTTTTTCTCTACTAATAATTCATATTACTAGAAACTATCAGAATTAACTCATGGTCTTAAAGGATTATTATCACATGTTTTATATTTGTGGTTCACAAGTTTTTTCTTTGTTTTAATCAAATTGGAAATCTTTTGAAACCAGAATCAGCTCTGTGCCCTGTATTATTTTCTCTTTTTTAAGGTATTTCATACCTTTGCAATATACTGTAGTTCTTTCTTGGCCCCTAAATGGTCTTTACAAGATACAACATGAATACTCCAAAGTATTCAAAGAAAACAAACTTAAATAACTCACTGTTAGCCTCCTTTTAAAATCTCATATTTTAGTTATTTAGTTATATCAGCCTTATGTAGGACTAAGATGTTTCAGAAAGTATTCAAATTCAAGCCTTTCTTTTAAAACATTACCCATTTTATCAGTTGATGTTTTTATTTTCAATTTAGTAACATCCTTCTTTGTCTTTCAGTAACGCACAAACTTGACTTGATGGTCGTGTAGAATTTCAAAATTCTATGTATACTGTGTATATGTATTGGGCATGCAAGAGTTTATGTTGCTTAGTGAATTATGTTTTTCTGGTAACGGCTGCATCTGTATTATAAGTTCAGGAAGATGTTACAGGGATCTGTGCATTTGTTGTCACAAGTTATTTCTTGTGATTCATAGAACAGGGGGTGGGAATAAGAGGCCATACTGCCTAAAGTGGAATGGGGAAATAGACCAGTGTTCACAGTTGTGGGGTGTCAGTACGCAGCCCACATTCCTTGTGTGATGAATCCCTGTGAACATTCTACTTTGGAAGACCAGTGGCTAGCATTGCTTTTCCTCATGTTAAAAAAGGGCACACCTCATGTGGCAAAGGGTCCAGTGGCTGAGTCCCTAACTCAGGGCTTCTTTTTTATTTTTTTATTTTTTTTTAAAAAAAAAGATGACCGGTAAGGGGATCTTAACCCTTGACTTGGTGTTGTCAGCACCACGCTCACCCAGTGAGCAAACCGGCCATCCCTATATGGGATCCGAACCTGTGGCCTTGGTGTTATCAGCACCGCACTCTCCCGAGTGAGCCACAGGCTGGCCCAAAGATGACAGGTAAGGGGATCTTAACCCCTGGCTTGGTGTTGTCAGCACCACACTCTCCGAAGTGAGCACACTGGCCATCCCTATATGGGATCCGAACCCGTGGCCTTGGTGTTATCAGCACCACACTCTCCGAAGTGAGCACACTGGCCATCCCTATATGGGATCCGAACCCGTGGCCTTGGTGTTACAGCACCACCACTCTCCCAAGTGAGCCA